TTTGTAAACACGGAACGCAATGGTGTATTGTTAGAAGTCTTGTAAAATAGTTCGAAAACCATCATTGAATATGTCTGCCATACCTGTGAACGTCGTTGATCTAAATCCCAAATCCTAACAGTGCCATCAGTAGAGCACGATAAAATACGATTGTAGGTCCCCTGGAAAATAGCAATCCTTTACTTAACCACAGGAACCCCAACATAAAAACCACGTGTTATAACTCACCCTAACACACTGCACGGGACCTTTATGTCAACATAACCCAACATAAAAACCAGGTGTTATAACTCACCCTAACACACTGCACGGGACCTTTATGTCAACATAACCCAACATAAAAACCAGGTGTTATAACTCACCCTAACACACTGCACGGGACCTTTATGTCCCTGTAAGGTCCGCAAACAAGTACACGTACACATGTCCCATTCTTTGATCAAATTATCGCTGTTAATAAAAAGAAAAAACATTGAAATTATTGGAAACTAGACGATTTAAAATAGCGCAAATTCATGCCCTGGCAAATGCCCCATAGYGATATTTTTCCATTGAGTGCAATAAGCGAGTTCCTCCGAGTCGAGTGAAAGGTGTATTTATTGATTAATAATCAATAAATGCAACTGAATAAATTTCGAGCATTTAACCTCATCAAATATTTTGATTTAGATACATCGTAGTCTTGTGTGTCTAGCGAGAATATGATAAAAACAGCAGACATGATGGACGGATATGGCAACATGATCTCTAGCAAGAATACGATAAGCCAGCAGCGGTAGATTAGTATCAGACAAAGTTCGACTTGGGAAAAAAATTAAACTAAATGCAAAGCACTTTATACCTCATGCCTTCCGTAGCCTGGGCAAGAGTAATAAAAGAATGACAGGTTCAGGCAAGTCTTACCCTCCCGACGACACAAAGTGATCACCACAAGTCGAGATAGAGTGCACGGATCCCTCGTGTGCTTGTATGCCTGCCTCACAAAATCCAGTGTCATAATCCCAGAACATTATCATACCATCCGTAGAACCACTCATAACTAATCTACCAAAAACCTTGAAAAACAAAACAACCATTACTAGATCTACTAAGTGTAAGAAGTGTCAGTACTACAAGGTCTTGTTGAGGTGAGAGGAGTCAGTACTGTAAGGTCTTGTTGAGGTGAGAGGAGTCAGTACTG